CACAGTTAAGAAACACAAAAATGTAGAAACTACTGATTTAATGCAATAACGTCAGTTGCACAATAATCCGTGAATATCAAGATGGTGAGAGCTGGGCCAGCTAATTCCTGTCCTTGAACTTGATGCAAATAATGAGCTCCTGCAAAAACGGAATCAAAACTGAACATTATGCTACTGACATTTAAAATTTATCATAATGATTTTTGGGGGGGAGTGGATAATATCTTACCTTATTGGGTGTTGAAGTGCCAGAACTGGTGAATCATCTATCGCACTGAACAGTGTGAAGGTGTCCGCCGAAGGGTAGTGCTGAACCTGCAGGCTGTCCTCGTTTAAAAAATATTCCTGCAAGGACAGAAAAAGACATGAAGATAATGTGGGGAGAGGGTGGTAGTAGTAGTAGTGAGAAAACTTGTTATTTTAAAACATTAAGACCCAAGAATAACACATATTGAAAATAAACTTTTTATTCTTGAAGGGTCAGCATTTAAAGGTACAAAATAATTTTCTGATTCGATTGATAGTATCATACCTTGTCAGAAGTCACATAAAATATCAGTTGTTGGCAGAAACCACTCAACAGTCTGTCAATTAAAGAATGCCTTTCCCGCAGCTGTTCATACTTTTCCTGGTGGTACAAGAGTTCCAATTTTGGATTCCATCAATCGAATAAGAGCATTATACTATGCCATAAAATACCTTCATTTCAAGAATAACGTGTCATAATCATTACTTATAATTTTACATCTTTACTTTAGAAGAATTATCACTCTACTCCCAATTTATAAGGCATACAAACTTCCCTAATAACAAAGAATGTCTTTAAGTACTAAAAAAATTACATACCTTTGTTTCAAAGAAGTTTGCGTAACACACAACAGTCATGAGACGATTCAGTCTTGATTCCGTTCTTACTCCATCAAAGTTCGATATGGTCTTCAGCTGGATAGATACCGGAGCAAAATCTAATAAACAGAGCATTAAAAGAATTGAGGTGAGACTCAAATATAGAAGACATAAAAATTAATCTTAATCAAAAAGTCATTTTGCATGATGTTTGCAAGAAAAAAAAATATCAGAAACATACCTTGATCATTGGTTGGCTAACCCATGTTGGGTTAACTATACATTGCCACACAGTTTCTTTTCGTTTTAAGTTCTGAAGTGTAATTAGTCCACATCCAGGAAAAGTAGAAAATTGACATAATCGCCTAGTAAAATAGCAGTAGGGCAAACAGAATTCAATATAACTGCGAAGCCCCAGAGCCAAAACATGGCCCAAACAACGATTTTAGGCTACAGTTAGATACTTCACTGTGGGACCCATAAATCGTTAAGTACCACGTCTCTACCATAACTGATCGTTCCCGATGCAAAGGGGAACCTTTCGAACCACGCAAAATGCAGTAAATGTGCATAAAACGTGAAATTAAACTAAATATCACGAAGCGACTTCGCCGGCAAGCATGGACCAAGCAGACACGGCAGAGGTTAGGGTGGTCGCTGTTTGTTTTTGTTAATGTTCTGCGCGGGCGCGAAAATTCAAAAAGTCTCCCAAGCAGGTTGTGGAATACGCATATCTTTGAACAGCATCCGATCCAGATCCTCTTTCACAGTGTGAGTTCTATAGAAGCCAGTAGAAAAGAATATTGAAATCTCTGTTTAATTAAATCTCTGTTCAGTAGAAGGAATCTCTTGTATTTACCATAGTACAGCATACTATCAGATCTAGGTAAAGGTGATTGTTTTCAGAAATGAAGCACTTATATGATTTACATATTGTAAAGGACCACCAGTAGAAGCTATGTGCCAAGTTTGGTGCCTATTGGTCATCCCATTTTAATGTCAGACAAATTACCGCTCACTTAAGTTGTTGTGTCAATCATATTTCTGACATGGTAAGGAAAAAAATTAAAAGACCTTTGATTAGTGATTTAAGACTTTATTATTATCATGTATCTACAAATGAAATCAGATTTCATGTTGCTGTAAAGTTTTGTACACATACATAGTAATATAGGGATTTCTCGCTGTCAAAACTTTAGTAAAATGTTGCTACTTGTAGTGGGTATATAAAATGAGATTTATGATAGCAAACTTATAGTTTTGGTATCTATAGAAGTATTAGGATGTGAAAATTGTTTTGGCAGTAATAGTTAAATAACTAACTAAAGATAAAGGCTAAATACTTTGAGTTATAAAATATTCAGCATCACCAATATTACAAGGAGTTTAACACTTCAGCTCTTCAAGTATTCAACATTTTAATTTTGTTAGTACTTCATTATTACTTTGAAACAATAGGCACATTATAATAATGCTATTCTTATTAAAACTGTTGATTTATAACATGAAACCTAATTTTACACACCCAATTTAAATAGCATCATTTTACTAAAGATTTGACAGCGAGAAATCCTTATATCACTATGCATATGTAGAAAACTTTGCAGCAACATGAAATCTGATTTCATCTGTGGAGACATGATTGAAATGTAGTCTTAAATCACTAATAAAAGGTCTTTTAATTTTTTTCCTTACCATGTAAGAAATATGATAGACAAAACAACTTGAGTGAGCGGTAATCTGTCTGGCATTAAAATGGGATGACCAATAGGCACCAAACTTGGCACATAGCTTCTACTGGTGGTCTTCTACAATTCATTGTTAAAATTGAATGTACTTGTTGAAAACAAAATAATTTTTATCAATCGGTCTACTTTTTGCCAATAACTGTCAAGTGAACCAACCAAACAGTAAATACTCAACCATTACAAAAGTTATTTAATGGAAAAATTGTCACAAAAATAGCACCTGTACCAAATGTGTTAAAATCTATATTCAATCCGCTACTTTAAAATGTTTTGGTTTACATGGCTTCATGTAAGTTAAAG